ATTTTTTTTATAGCACACTAGATTGCTGCATAGAAACAAAAATACTATGAACCTTCTGAGTAATGATCGGGAAAGTTAAAACCATATGGCTAATGATAGTTATTTTTGTGAGGTTGTAATATTCCTATCATTCTGCTCTGGTCTGCTTTTCTTCTTCAAGGTATTTTATTTTTTTTCAATATGATTTGCTCTAGGGTCTTCAAATCATTCTCATTGACCTCTTTTCTTAATTGTAGTTCTAGCTTTTATATTTTGTAATTTAGTCATCTATGTAATAGCACTACAAATTTTAAGACGAAAAGTCCGCCCCAAAGCTTATCATCATCGAGACGTTTTGATCTGCATATTACGTCACATATAAGGATCAACCTTGACCTTTCACCTATATAAATCTTGGCTTGTCTCTTATTTCATTTATAGGAATGCCCGAGAACATAGGATTAGAAGATGCGCAGTCCCCCAGATGCAGTTGAATTTGACTAGAGGTCAACTAGCTCTTCTTTTCTCTTTTCCAGTGGAAGGTGCTTGATGATATTTTGTTCTATTCTTAATTTTCCGTATATCCAAACTTTTACGGTACTACACTTACATCACATATCAACTGCCACCATCATTCCTAGCCTTCAATTATATGTTGACTTAGGTAATTGGTTCACTTGAATGATTAACTTCAATTTATTTTGTTTTTAGTTTTTTTCTCCTGCTCCAAAACAACTTCATCTGTTAGGTTTAATTTGTGATTACCCTTTCGAGATCAACTTGACTGCTACATTTCGTGATTAAATGTATATCATGAATAAAGAAACTTGTACTTGTTTTAAATTTATAAATTATAATGCTTAAAATCTCAATATCATGAATATTACTATTGTTATGTACATGTATTTTTCTATTAAATGTTGTTTCATTCTTACATTTTCGTTTTAGGGTCTGCAGGTGTTGTTTCCCCTTTTCCGAGGAGAGTAAAATACCAGATGCCTATGATCATTAAAAAGTCAGTTTAAGAAAAAGTGAAAAACACTATAAGCCTACTTTAGACTTATTTTAAATAACTTGATAAATATTTTCTTCTGACACAGCAGAGCCTAACTCCTTAGATTTATCCACCATATGAGTGCTCTTCTGAAACAGAAGAGTCCTCTCTAAAAAAATAGTATAGTCCTTACCTGTGATGGGAATGGGACCAAACTAACTCCCTACACATTTTATATAAACTGTCTCATATTAAACATGTGTATTTCTTTCATACCAAATTGCTCATATGTTAACTCCATTACTTGTAGCCGAACATCAGAATTTGGATTGATGAAAGTTTACTGATGGGGAAAAGTAGTCTAGCTTTCTCATAAACTCAAGGAGCTTATCTAAATGTCATGGTAAGAAAATCTAATCATATTACCCCTCTCGAAAACTTAGAACACTGTTTTGGGTTGTAATATAGCATCATAGATGCTCTGATAGAGTGTTTGCAAACTATTCCTATTTCTTGATTAATAAATCATTGTATTTGAGAAATAAATAAAAACTCTATTAATATCTTGTTAAACAGACAAGGTCATTTTAAGTACCAACTTGGCCAGGTACGTGCTTTTGGGATGCCTGTTGGAGGCTGCAACATTACCCCAATGTTTCAGGTTACTTATCGTTGATGGGATGATTATGCAACTTAGCTTTCGAAGAAGAGTTTTTTTTTTTTGAAAATTTAATTAAACTTTTAATCATACTAATGTAGCAAATGTGATTTCGTATGGCCGTGCATTTTATGTATGAACTCACTTTAAAAACTCTTATTAGGTTGACATCAAATGCAAAACTTTTAGAGTTTTTTTAAAAAAAACTCTAAAAAGGGCCTCTATTTTCTTTAAATTCAGTGAAATGCAAATTAAAAAGATGTTGCAAATTCAGTGAGCTAGCTACATTCACTCTTGCTATTTTGCTAAACTTTGTTGTGCAAAGCACGTACGCCTGCTTATGTTTTGTTTTTATTCTTTCTTGCGTTGATGCTTTCGCTAACTATTTTTCCCCGTATTGGGCTATGACCGCACACAACATGTTTTTGCGCAGCTTTATTGCTTGTTATTCATTGTTGGGCATGGGATTTCGCGCAAAGCGCGTTACCATGCTAGCATATATATATATATATATATATATATATATATATATATATATATATATATATATATATATTTATATATATATATACTAGCATGGTAACGCGCTTTGCGCGAAATCCCATGCCCAACAATGGTCGGGTTCTAATGAGAAGACATCTTAACGTGAGAAGTGAGAAGTTACACATTTACCTATTTCTGATGCACTTTTTGGCTATTCTTATGCACTTATTGCGATGGCAGAAAAATTCCGATTAATTACGGAAATGCCACCGCGTCTAGCATCACTTTTTTAATATCTTTTGTACTTTCTCGTGCACTTTTTTGCTAATCTGATGCACAGATCTTAAAATGAACGCACCAGATGCATTCTCACTTCTTACGATAAGCACTCTTCTCATTTGATCTTTATTCTATAATATATATATATATATACATATATATATATATATATATATACATCTATATATATACATACATATATATATATATACATATATATACATATATATATACATATATACACATATATATATACATATATACATACATATATATACATATACATATATATATATATATATACATACATCACTACAAAAAAACACGTCGTTTGTCACGGATTTTGTCACTGACGGTAGTTCAAAAAATCCGTGACAAATGATTTTTTGTCACGGATTTGTCACGGATCCCATCCGTGACACCAGGGGCGTGATAACGTTTTTGTCACGGAAATTAATCCGTGAGATTGTTTGTCACGGATTTGTCACGGCCACGGTCCGTGACAAAACACTTCACCGGAATCCCATCGGCTTTCATTTGTCACGGACGCATCCGTGAATAAATGTTTTTATTTTTCAAAAAAAAAAATTACTTGTCACGGAATTATCCGTGACAAATTTTAAAAAGGTTTTTCAAAATAGAGTGGGCGGGTATTTGAAACGGTCCGGAAAATTCAAATTTTAAATTTTGTCACGGACATATCCGTGACAAACTATTTTGAAAAAAATTTGAAAATTTTAAAATATAGTGAGCGGGAGCTTTAAAATTTTCAAAAAATTCAAAATTTTGAATTTGTCACGGATCCCATCCGTGACAAAACATTTTGTTTTAAAAAAAAATACGTTAATTTAGCGTGAATTTATATTTTGTCACGGAACAATCCGTGACAAAATTTTAAATTTTTTAAAAAAAAAATTTAAAAATTCAGCGCATTTTTAAAAGTTTATTTCAAAAGTTTATTTAATAAAAATAACCATTAAAATTTAGGTGCTAGCTACTTTAATTGTCACGGACCTATCCGTGACAAATTTAAGTATAAATATGTGCTTAGAGTCCCATTTTTTCGGTGCGAAAAAATGGCTAATCCAGAACCAGATGTGTGGAAGTTGATCAGTAGAAGTGTACAAAGATTAAAACAAGTTACACAGTTGATGAAGCCTCAAAATGCAGAAGCAGTTCAAAGCATCCGTGAGCTGATGAGTAGACCGCTTGAAAGCTTTGGCGATATTATAGACTATGAATCGGACTCATACAACGTTTCACGAGGGAAAAACTTGCGTAGGGCACTTTTACGTGCAGAACAATGTTCGGAGTATATGATACCTATAAACGCGGAAGCTGCAGAAAGAATTAACGAGCTACTTGATAGGCCTCTAGATGAAAGTTTTGACGCTAATGAATAATATTGTGTTTATTTGTTTATCTGTATTGTGAGTTGTTGAATGTAATAAATGATAAAAAATTGTGTGTTTTCTACTTAGTTTTTAAATTTAATAAATAAATTCATGTTCTTGTTTATTAAATTACGAATTATTAAAATTTTGTAATGTTAAAAAACTAATAACAAATAATGTTAAAAAACTAATTTCCGAATTTTAAATAATGTTAAATTTCGAATTATTTAATTTTCGATTTTCGAAATTACCTAATTAATTTTAAATTTACGAATCGATAATAATGAACCACTAATTTTCGATTGAATAATTTTAAAAACTTAATTTTATTAATTAATTAATCGCTATTTTACAATATAATATGGAATAATTATTTTGTTTAGAAATGATAGTTGCGAATTACATACCTAACTATTATATCTTGGAATAATATAATAATGACGAAAGAAAGTTAAAAATTCAAATTAAAATAGTTCAATTAAAAGTAATTACATTGGTTGTTAACTATACATTTAATCGCTATCAGAATCAGTATTTTCTTGATAGGCAACTTCTTCTTCTGTATCTTCATCACCAGATATCCATTCTTCTTCCTCCTGGTCATCGTGCAGTTGTTGTATATATAATTCTTCAATTTCGCGCTCATTTTGAGGTATAGGGGGCGGAAGGTGTGTTTCAGGCATAACTTCAACATCTCCGCCATTTGGGTCACTTAACTGAATGTTATGGTTGACCGTATCAGCAATAGGCGGAGGGTGGAAAAAATCTTGCTGAAAAGCATCAAAGTCAATATCCCTTTGTTGAGCCTGTGTTACAATTTTGCTCGGACGGATATTAATGGCACACACCCAAGGATTCCGTGTGCGCCTCGTTGAAGGATACTCTGCATAATAAACCTGGGCTGCTTGTTGAGCGAGTATAAATGGCTCATTTTTCTGATACACACGAGAGTGGTTGACGTCAATTATATTATATTTTGAATTTTTTCTCACACCACGTGTAGGGTCGACCCATGTGCAGCGAAACAACACGCATGTTAATTCTTGCAAACCAGAAGGCATTTGAAGTTCGAGAATCTCATGCAAGAAACCAAAAAAATTGGTTTCCGAGTTATCAGAACCGATGGTCGGGACACATAACCCGCTGTTCATTGTTGGTCGACCTTCTCCATATTCAACTGTGTGATACGTATAACCGTTTATCACATATGAATGCCAAACCTTTGCATAGGAAGAAGGGCCCCACGATAATGATACTAACAGAGGGTCGTTAATCCCACGGTACCTGATCTGCAAATTAAAACATGATAACATTAGGTAATGATTAAAAATTACTAGCTAATAGTATATATAATGTATTTATATATATATAATACCTGCTGTTGGTACCATAATGCAAAGTCAGAGTCCACCATTGCATCAATTGCATCATCAGGAAATGTTGATAAAGACGCTCTAAATTCACTGTGAATTGAACATAAAGATATTATTATAACACTCTAATTATTAAAAAAATATTAGCTATATTACAAATGTAACTACCAATTCAACTTACTTATAAAATGGTAAGATTTCTGGACAATTCATGAGGATGTAAGTATGTGCAATTTTCATTTCTCCGCCCACGATGTAACGGTAAGTCGCAGCTCCTTTACCTCTACCTGGGTAGTTGAAAATAGAAACTACTTTATCATATGAATCCTCGCCAATGTCATCGTTCCGAGCAGGTCTCTTTCTTTTACTGATTACTTCACGCTCAAAATAAAAAGATGAAAACGTTGAGGTTTCTTGTTGAATATATGCTTGACAAATTGAAGCCTCAATGTGTGCCTTGTTGGTCGCTTTCTTTTTCAAATCTCCCAGAAATCTGTCATGCAAAATAAAATTTGTAAACAAACAAATGTTCTTATTAAACAAATCATCGTTTATAAATGAAATTATGACTAACCTTTCAAATCTGTACATCCAACGATAGAAGACGGGCCCTCCATTCAAAGCCTCATACGGAAGATGTATTAGAAGATGTTCCATTACATCAAAAAATGATGGGGGCAGTATCTTTTCCAGATTACACATCAGAATAGGAACAGTGTCTTCTAGTCTCCTCAGGGATTCGGCATCCAAAACGGCGGAACATATCGACTGAAACAATTGACTGATTTCGGTAATACAGCCCCAGACGTCTGCAGGAAGCATCTCTTTCAGTGCAATCGGCAGAAGTCGTTGCATGATTAAATGAGCATCATGAGTTTTCATGCTCGACGTCATTGTTTGTTTGTCCAGGTCCACGCATCTTGACAAGTTAGAACAATAGCCATCTGGAAAGTTCAGAAAAACAAGCCACTCTAATATTGATTCCCTTTGTGGGGCTGTGAGTTGGTAGACTGCTCTTGGAATTTTTTTACCCACGTATTCTAGATCGACGGCGAGTTCGGGTCTGTCGCACCAAATTGTCATGTCTTTCTAGATGCAAGACCATCTTTGGTTTTGTGGGTAAAATCCATAACCGTGTTAAATATATTGTCAAAGACGTTCTTCTCAACGTGCATGACATCTAAATTGTTACGAATGAGAAGGTCCTTCCAATACGGCAACTCCCAAAATATACTTCTCTTTGTCCACTTATGGGTATCACAATACCCATTTGGCTCCCCGTGGGGTTGCTGCACGGCCGTAGGAAAACGTCGAACCCGGTTAAAAACTTGTTCACCTGTAAGTCTCGGAGGAGGGGGATCTCGTACCACTCTTCCGGCAATAAAAGACTTCTTGTCCTTTCGATATCGATGGTTCATAGGCAGAAACTTGCGGTGACAATCAAAGTAACTTGGTTTCCCGCTAAATTTGAGCCAATTGGCCTCTGATTGATCCATACATATCGGACATCCCATAAGACCGTGTGTGCTCCATCCTGAAAGCATACCATAAGCAGGGAAGTCGCTAATGGTCCAAATGATGGCAGCTTTCATGATAAACATCTGATCTCTCGAAACATCATAAGTTGGTGTCCCAATGGCCCAAAGTTCTTTCATCTCCTCGATCAGGGGTTGGAGATAGATGTCTATCCTTTTTTTAGGATCCGAGGGACCTGGACAAATTAAAGTTAAAAAGATGAAATGACTTTTCATGCACATGTCGGGAGGAAGATTATAAGGAGTTAACATGACTGGCCAACATGAAAATTTCTTCCCAAACTTTCCAAAAGCAGCAAATCCGTCTGAACACAATCCCAGTCGCACATTCCGTGGCTCCATTGCAAACTGAGGATGACAACGGTCAAAGTGTCTCCAAGCTTCACAGTCGGAAGGGTGAGACATCAAACCCTCTTTGGTTTCGTGCTCAACATGCCACGTCATGTGTTTCGCAGTAGCATTTGAAGCATACATCCTCTGCAGGCGTGGAGCTAGAGGGAGGTAAAATAATTTAGACAATGCAGACCTTTTTCGTGGTTTTTTTCGTCTATGAGGAACAGGCTTGTATCTCTCTCCACCACAGAACTTGCAGGTCTCAAGTGCCACATCATCCTTCCAGAACAACATACATCCTTCTGGGCACGCATCAATTTCTATACAAGGAAGCCCCAACTGAGACATTAATTGTTTCATTTTGTAATATGAATCAGGAAGATTATGGTCACGCGGTAACATTCCTCCAAATGACTGCAATAACCTAGACATGCAAGATTCAGGAAGATTGTATTCAGATTTAATGTTCATCAACTCTGTAACGGCGGATAGCTGAGAGTATCCCTCACAATCAGCATACAGAGGCTGATCAGCAGCTTTTAAAACATCTTGAAATCTTTCAGCTAAGTCTTCAATATGAGGAACATGAGAATTCGGATACTCATCCGCAGCAGACTGATAAAAGGTCTGATCTTCATCCGCATCGGGTTGATACGAGGTCGAAGCTTCGGGAAGATCGTTAAATGGCTGTGGTGGGTTAAACTGCATCGTTGAAGCACCGTATACATCATATGCCATTCTTTGATCCCACGTCATTTGATCATAGTCTCCCCATCCACTCATCTCGGTAGGGACGTTACGAGATGAACCCACTGTTTGCGGTAAAAGTGATGGATCGAAAGGTTCACCATGAGAAGTCCAATTATAATAATTGGCAACGAAACCTTTTTCGTACAAATCCCACACAACTTGGTCGACATCTTTAAATTGAAGATTTTTACACTTTGTACATGGACATCTGATTTTATCTCCATCCATATAATTCTTCTGTTCTTGTGCAAATTTAATAAAATCTTCAACACCATTCAAAAATTCACTGCGTATTCCATAGTTATCACGATGTTTTTGGTACATCCAACTTCTGTTTTGTCTATACATTATGCCTGTATATATATTATAATCAAAATAATATATAAGTACATTAATATTATTAATTAACTAAAAGCAGTACATTATTTAATTTGTGGCATTAATAATTTGAATTAACCAACTTTAATTTGTGACATTAACTAAAAGCGTTGATTTACTAATATTTAACTAATAGTAATATGTTAATGGCATTAATCGTTTTAATTATTAACTACTAAAGTTTGAATCCTAACTGAAATCACTACAAATCCTAAATTATGCATTAACAATAATTAACTAATAAACAAATTAAACCTAATCATCATCATTGATCAATTAATTAACTAATATTTAAATCTAACTAATATTATCAACTCAAATTCCTCAATGTTTTAACTTAATTAATTAGTTAATTAATTTACATTTAACTAATATTATTGTTAAATATTATCTCATTAATAATTCACAATAATAATTCACAATAATAATTCACAATAATAATTCACACTAAACTAAATAAAATTAAAGTTTCAACCCGGCCTAGCTATATATATTATGCATCCCATTAACAATAATTAACTAATTTAACTTATTAATTAGTTAATTTCCATTTAACTAATATTGTTAAATATCATTAATTCACAATAATATATAATTCACACTTAACTAATAAAGTTTGAATCCTAACTTAAATCACTACAAATCCTAAATTAATCATTAACAATAATTAACTAATTAATAAACAAATTAAACCTAATCATCATCATTGATCAATTGACTAATATTTAAATCTAACTAATATTATCAACTCATCAAATTCTAAACCCATTTCCTCAATGTTTTAACTTAATTAATTAGTTAATTTCCATTTAACTAATATTGTGAATTATTATTGTGAATTCACAAAAATAATTCACAATAATAATTCACACTAAACTAAATAAAAATAAAGTTTCAACCCTAGCTATATATATTATGCATCCCATTAACAATAATTAACTAATTTAACTTATTAATTAGTTAATTTCCATTTAACTAATATTGTTAAATATAATTAATTCACAATAATATATAATTCACACTTAACTAATAAAGTTTGAATCCTAACTTAAATCACTACAAATCCTAAATTATGCATTAACAATAATTAACTAATTAATAAACAAATTAAACCTAATCATGCATTATCATCATTGATCAATTAACTAATATTTAAATCTAACTAATATTATCAACTCATCAAATTCTAAACCCATTTCCTCAATGTTTTAACTTAATTAATTAGTTAATTAATTTACATTTAACTAATATTATTGTTAAATATTATCTCATTAATAATTCACAATAATAATTCACACTAAACTAAATAATAATAAAGTTTCAATCCTAGCTAGCTATATTAATTATGCATCCCATTAACAATAATTGCTAATAAATAATAATTGGTGATAATTAATAACCTAATAATTAAGCTAGCTAACTAATTAATTAAATCACTACAAGTCACTAATTAATTAATCTATAATAAGCTAGCTAATACTTAAATCATCACTACACATCCTAAATTATTATGCATTAATAATAACAATAATTTAACTAATTAATATTTATATTTAAATTTAACTAATTAAATTACGTTAATAGTTTAATAATATATTGTTAATAATATGAAAATTAACATGACCTCACTAAATTACGTTAATAGTTTAAATAAATGAACAATAACTAACCTCACTAATTAATTATTAAGCTAATAATTAATTATTATTATATAAAGAAAAAAGAATCCTAACCTCACTAATAATAATTAATTAATTAAGCTACTAATTAATTTATTACACAATTAAAAGAAATTAATTAAAATGACATACCTTATCAGCATAAACTCGGAAAATGATGAACTAACGGATTACATCATTCAATCTTTAAACCGATACTACATCACTCGAATCTACGAATTTCTAAACTGATTGTTGTTCTTGCAATTGTAATGGACGATGAAGTTGGGTTATATAAAAAAATTTGTCACGGATTTGTCACGGATTTATCCGTGACAAATCTTTTTCTGTACCGCATTATTAAAGGTTACCGCTGGAAAATCAATAATTGAGTTTTTTTGAAATTTGTCACGGATTTGTCACGGATTTATCCGTGACAAATCTTTTCCCATACCGTATTATTAACGGTTACCGCTGGAAAATCAATAATTGAGTTTTTTTTATATTTGTCACGGATCTGTCCGTGACAAATGCCCGGAAGCAAAAAAGTATTCACCGGAGTAAAAAACCGGTCGCCGGAGTAAATTTGTCACGGACCAAATCCGTGACAATATTTTGTCACGGATTTTGTCACGGATAAATCCGTGACAAATAATTTTCGTGACAAAACCCATAATTCCGTGACAAAGCCCGTGACAAATTTGTCACGACCGGAATCCGTGACAAAAATCCGTGACAAACGGCGTGTTTTTTTGTAGTGCATATATATACATATATACATATATATACATATATACATATATATACATATATATATATATACATATATATATAAATTTGACATTTC